TGCATTTAGTTGAACTGCCATAGACTCTCGTATTTCCCTGGAATGAGACTTTAATAGCTGTATCAGACTGCAGCTTGTTGAATGAGCAATCCTATAAAAATGTCAAGAAGACAGTCTTAGTACGAAAAAAATGCTTTTTCAGGGTGCTATTGGACACAATTTGATAAGCACCTTGTAGTATTCCTGCTACTAGAATGCATAGAATTGTTAATTTATATTTTACTTGTCTGTAAAAATCAAACATATCGCGGCAAGGGTGGAAAATTCGATTTCTTTCATATTTTAATGTTAGATAGGCTAGACTATAACTAAAATCACTGCATACTTTTTTTGGCGAAATATCTTTTTATTTCAGAGAAAAATACAAATAACGAAATTCCGTTAAAATCGTCACTTTTAGCAGCAAATTACTGCACGAGTTTGAGGGCTTCGCGTGCAAAAAGGAATCACTATCTCGTCTTTTAAACACTCAAATCTTCTTTTTCGATCTCATAAGACCTCACAAAGTGATTTTTGTAAACATTGCGCTCTTCTTTGCGTTAAAATAATTTAATTTCGAAAGCATGCATTTCTCTTAAGTAAAAATACTTCGTGAATAAAATTAATTTTCACCATGTGCTAACCCTTCAAATGGATTAAGCTTTTGGTGGTTGAATTTCGAAAAAATGTTCTCGATATAACTGTAAAAATTAGTTTGGGCAAATCATTGAGAGCGATACAAAAGCGTTTCAAAGTCCGTTAAAATGCAGTTATTTGACCTAGTTCCAGTCGCGAGTCACACATATTTTAATATGTTTCAACCAATATGAGGCCGAAAAATGTATATAGAAACATATTTCCAAATGCTCTAACCTCATTTGCCGCAGAAGACCGATCCAGAGACCATTTTAGTGTGATTCTCTTGTCGTTCGTCGTATTTAGGTCTGTATAAATGATAACGTCCGATGAAACCACCAACCCTGTCGAACACCATCTTGTTGTCAAACGTTCAATATGTTTCTTCACTGTGGCATCTTATTCAACGGTTCAGTTGACTGTGAGTATTGCTCAGTTTACAATTCACTAAAAGATTACATCTGACAGTCTAATTCAAAGCTAAACTGAGTTGACTACAAACATGTATGCCCTTTGAGTATTTGGGTTGTCACGCAATACCGGTGACAAAGGAACTTTAGGGGGTAGGTGAGGGGCAAAACTCCATATAATTAAGCACTATCAGAATTGAACTCTTGGAACCTACAAAATATTTTATTCTGTAACTATTTTCTTGTTTTTTTGACGCTCTGTGCCTTTCGTACTCGTTAGGGGTTTTTTTCTTTCCACTAAAATTGCAAGGAATACCCCGAATAGCATGAAAGAGAACATTTTATTATTTTTACTGCACCATGCTACAAAATGCAGTAGTGGGGATGTGTGGCTTATGTGAGGCAGGGGTGCTATGTTCCGTGGCCAATGGGTGGGGCTTGCAAAAGGGAGTGGTACTATTGACCACTGTTGACAGACCCAACTACCGTTTAAAACCTTAAACTACAGAGGGGCCGACATATGAGCGCTCGGCACAAAATTAGGTCGATTTCATCTTCAGGACCGGTAAATTTGAAAGCCGACTTATGACTTGCGATATTCTAGGTGCATGAAAGTAATGGAACAATTTCCGTTTCACGCTTTCGATCTCTAGTGTTGTAACAACAAACTCCGCCGATAAGTGACTTTAACGAACAACAACCTTCCATTTTTTATGTAACAAAGTTGACCGTGTAAGTTAGTGCATTCGTGAAAAACAAAGTCCGAAGCCCCGCCTGTAAGCAAACAATAGGCATCGTGTAATTACCATAAACCAGGTTTTGTTTACTTAGGCTTACTACTTTTAGCAGGTACTAAATTTAGCTTTTTAATGAGTATTAGCCAAAGGCCCCTATCTCCGCGACTTACATGTAAGAGATTTCGATGTTCACAAGAACAAAAAATTTGAGCAGCAGTGACGTCTTTTTACTCTCCCCTCCCCCTACCCCCTAAAAAATAACTTTTCATTGTATGATTTGCATTGCGTGACGACTCTCCGCATGCAACACTACGTTGACTGCAACATGTGAAGTGCCACTTTTAAAAGCATCGATCAGATCTACTGCACCACAAACCGAACAACACTCACAGTCAACTGAACCGCTGGATAAGATGCCACAGTGCAGAAAGATATCAAACGTTTTACAACGAAGGTTGGTGACAGTTCGCAGATTGACAGGCAGTTTCATCGGACGTTATAAATACGACGAGCGACTAGATAACCACAGTAAAATGGTCTTTGGATGTTTCTTCTACGGCAAATGAGGTTACAGCATTTGGAAATGTGTACCCATGTACATTTTCCGGCCTCATATGGGTTGAGACATATTAAAATATGTGTGACTCACGACTGGAATGTTGACCGCGAAAGGTCAAATAACTGCATTTTAACGGACTTTGAAAAGCTTTTGTATCGCTCTCAATCATTTGCCCAAAGAAATTTTTACAGTAATATTGAGAACATCCTTTCGCAATTCTACCGCTAAAAGCTTAATCCATTTGAAGGTTTAGCACATGCTGAAAATTAACTTTACTCATAAAGTACTTTTACTGAAGAAAAATGTATGCTTTCGAATTTAAATTATTTTACACGCAAAGAGGAACGCAGTGTATACAAAAATCGTTTTGTGAGGTCTTATGAGGTTAAAAAAGAAGATTTGAGTGTTAAAAAGACGAGATAGTGATTCGTTTTTGAACACGAAGCCCTCAAACTTGTGCAATAATTTGCTGCTAAAAATTACGATTTTTACGGAATTTTGTTTTGCATTTTTTATTTGCATTTTTCTTTGAAATAAAAGGATATTTTGCCAAAAAAGGATCCAGTGATTATAGTTATAGTCTAGCCTATCTAATATTAAAACAAGAAAGAAATCGAATTTTTCACCCTTGCCGCGAAATTTAGAATTTGTCTGATTTTTACAGACAAGCGCTCTTAAATCGTCGGCATTTCTCAAAAGTATTTTTCAGAGATGGCCACGACAAATTGGCTCTAACGCTTAATTTATTTTTTATTGCATTTCTAGATATAACTGTACCTTAATCTTTCCACTATCTCTACTATCAGCACTTTTCCACACACACTGTTCCCAGTTGGTCTGTGACACTGCACTATTCACGATTTCTCCTTTCTCTCCTTTAGATCCCTGCTCTCCTTTCACGCCCTTGATTCCTGGCAGTCCACTGCTTCCACGTGACCCTTCATCACCTTTATCTCCTTTTATTCCCATCATTCCAGGTGCACCATTTTTACCAAGTGACCCTGGATTACCCTTTTGTCCTCTTGTTCCCGTCACACCTCTCGGTCCCTTGACACCAGGCTCCCCCTTAGCTCCATCTTTTCCTTGTTGTCCTTGCGGTCCTGGGGCGCCAGGAATTCCCGGCATTCCTGGTATGCCATTCGATCCTGGAATTCCAGAAAATCCGTGAGCAAAAACGGATTTCTGAGAAAGAAGAAAGAACTTATAGTAATTGGATGGACATACTTGATGTTCATTGATGTTTATTTGTCCGCCGAAGTAGTACAGCAATTTCTTCAGAAACTAATCACGTTGAGAATTAGGCTTCGTTCTAGGAGAAACAGCTCGGAACATTGAATGATCTCATAACGTTGTAGAGATATCCCTAAAAGAAAACTTTTTCCAGCAATGTTCTACTTTGTTTTGGAAAACTTATGATTGATAAGGGATTTGTTTTGCACGTAGCTTGGCAGACATGAGTGGTTAAACTTAGGTGTGACAAATGAACGCGTCATGAAGTACATGCGATTTTGTAGTAAATAATCGTGAATAAAGCATGCTTAAGAGTACCTGGCATGAGTCTTCGTCAGCACCAGTTTGTGGATTCTGTTGTTGAGGACTGGTGGTTGTTCCCAGGGAACTTACTCCTGTTTTGGATGAGACAAATAACAAAGCAGCGAGGATCATAAGCTTCGCCATACTTCGATGGTTGCTTCGCGCAAATACTCTGTGCTCGCAGTAAAATATCTCCTTACGTACGTGCCTATTTATATCCTACCGAATTTCATTATAAAATAACAATCTTAATTAAAAAGCGCTAGAGCTAAATGATAAGGATGTCTGAAGCTACTTGAACTCACACAACGGGTCAACAACTTGACTGTGATATCCTTATCAGTTCACTAATGAAGCACGTACTGACCAACAGACCAATGTTTCACTCATGTTCAGGAAATTACGCAGAAAAATCTGGGCCACAAAATCTACCTACTCTGATCAAACGAGAAATATTGAGAAAAAAAGTTCGATATGGTCTGTGATATGATGTTCATTTGTCCTCAGCTCGATTTCGGTATTCATGTTCTTGGATCCATTCTAAAATAGTACAGATATTTTTAAATGCCACATGTTAGACTCAAACTGATCATGAGGTGGTGTGTTAGATTTTGTCGACATTTCAATGATGATGCAAATCGCAGACCCGTCTCAATGATATTAAATTTAAGTGAAACTTAAATGTGTTTGATTGAAGAAACAGGTGATAGCACCCATTAGCGTACGGGCCGGGGGAGCTGGGAGGCTGTCAGCCCCCCACCCCTCCGCCTACCAAATTTTTGGCGACTCAGATTTTTCAGGCAGCAAAAGAAATTTTGGTAAAGCCAATTTTTACCAAAGTTTCCATGTTTCTTTTCGTCTTTTTTTTCTTTTAAAGAGACATTTATTAATTTAAACTTAAACTTGGCGTGGTAAAACCAGTTAAATTCATCTTCGGACTGTGAGTGCTGAGAGTAATTCTAAGCAACACTTATATTCTATGCCGATATCTTTAGGGAAAGACGGTCGACGTCATCTGCACACATAACCATTCAGACCTTACGCCAGCGTCGTAGTCAAGAAAGTTCCAACAGCGTATGGCAGATAGCGTCAGCAATAAGTCTTACAATTAAGGAGTACTAAATCAGTTGTCAGTTTGAATAACGGAAGCCAGGGCACTCAGACAAACGCCATCGCGCAGCCTTCAATACCTTGTAAGTGATCACGTGCAAACGCAGCTGACACCGTAATCGCGCCACCGGATGAACACTTACTATACGTCCATCGACGAGGTGCTGACCGAGCTTGAGCCTAGGTTCAGTGCAAAAGAACAGTGAAACACCTGATAAATAAAGCTTCTTCCGCGATGCTAAATTTTACAAAATCGACGACGAGATTCTGGAAGCTGAGAAGAAAATGTACGCGAGCTTTCGTCGTGTGCACGGATTAGGCCACATGACTGTTTCAGAGATGCTAAGGGTAATGCACGAGAATGATCTATTTGATACGTTCCCAGAGTGTTATAAAGTAGTAAATATTCAGTGATACCTGCTACATCCTGTTCCACAGAACTATCATTCAGTCCGTTGCCGGCGCTGATTAAAAACTTACCTCTGTAACACCATGGAGCAACAACGTGTCAGTAGTATCTCACTTATTAACATTAAAAGGGCATATGCCAATCTGTAGTCAAAAATGGATCGTAACATTGATATCTCCAGCCGTCGGAAAGGCAGAGACAGCTATATAATTCTTTTAACGTGTGTTTTGGGCTCATGTGATATTTTCATAGGAAAGAATATATTCATTTCGTATGTAAGCTTATTTTTTTCGGGCAAGTGGTTCACTCCCTCTCCTCCCCCCCTGGCAAAAATGGCACGAACCGGCCCCATGATAGCATTGGTTTGTTTGACCCACTATTAAATATCACAGATAACAGTGTTGTAATTAACAAACTGCGGCGGAATAAAAGCGGTCAAGCCTTTAGATGTTCTGGAGAGCGTTTCTGTGGACTCTGAAACGCCTGATATCATGTTTATTTGTTGTATGGTCGATTACTGTGTTCATGCTTATATTGAGGCGGTGAGATATATTTTCATCTCCAAAATCTGCTTTTGTGTATTAATGGTACAAGTTGCAAACTCGTGTTGTGTAGTTAAAATTAAGAACGATATTTTCTACGAGACTTAAACGTTTTTTTTATCAGCGTAAGGGTCACATCTGTTACTGTTATCGGATAACGGAATTTATCTTTAGAATGTAATTCTTCAATGCTTCAGATAATTTTTCACACAATCTTATGTGCCGCTATCTCGCTGGAATGAATAATTAGAATAGTTGCATCAGACTGCAGCTTGTTAAATGAGAAATCCCATAAAGTATGCCGAGAAGAGAATGTTATAGGAAATAATTTGATGATGACCTTGTACTTTTCCTACCTGCTTGAATGCGCAGAATTATTAATTGATATTTTTAGTTTGGCGGCATTTCTCAACATTCTCTTTCAGAGATGGCCATGACAAATTGGCTCTAACACTTGCTTTTATTTTTCACTGCATTTTCTGGATATTTTTGTTCCTTAATCTTTCCACGATCTCCATCATCATTAAGACTTTGTACCACACATACAGTCTCCAGTTGGTCTGTGACAAAGTAGCGTTCACGCTTTGACCAGACGTGTGACTGATGATATATCAGGTGATACAGCACCCATAAGCGCCGGGGGAATTGGGGGCTGCCAACCCTCCCTCCCCCTCCCAAATTTTGGGCGACTCAGATTTTTTGGGCAGCAAGAGAAATTTTGGTAAAGCCAATTTTTACAAAAGTTTCCATGTTTCGTTTCGTCTTACTTTTTCTTTGAAAGAGACCTTTTTTTAATTTTAAGTTTATGTAGGCGTGGTAAAGCCAGTAAAATTCATCTGCGGACTGTGAGTGCTGAGATTAATTCTGAATAACACTTGTAGTCTGTGCCCATATCTTCAGGGGAAGACGATCGACTTCATCTGCAGCTGGAGAAATGCCGACATGACCAAATAGACCGTACGCCAGTGTCGTAGTGAAGAAAGTTTCAACAGCGTATGGCAGATAGTGTCAGTAATTTCATTCAAGGCTTCTCTATTTCTTAAACAATGAACTCGTTCTGACCAATCACGGCGCGCGCTTTTCTCTGGACATTTTATAATAGCAAGTAATACGATGATTTCTCTTTTGAAATTTGGGGTCACTAAGTTCTTGTAAATTTTTCAAAGACTACAAATTGCACTCACCCTACAGGCGTGTGCAATTTTGTTATCTTTGAAAAATTTACTCGTGCTTATTTACACCAAATTGCACTCGAAATCATGTTATTTACCAATACAAATAAGATAAATTAAGTTCTTGTATATTTTTAACTGACTGCAAATTGCACTCTCCCTACGGGCTCGTGCAATTTTGTCATCTTTGAAAAATTTACTCGTGCTTATTTACACCAAGTTGCACTCGAAATCGTGTTATTATATTTGTACAAATAAGATAAACTTAGAGAAATTAGCCAGAAAAATTGGGGCCACGAAATGTTCGTATTGTGATCAAACTTGCCATATTGAGAAGGAAAATAAGTTTCATATGGTCTGTGATATGATGTTCCTTTGTCCTCTGGTCGATTATGATATTCATGTATATTCCCGATCGATTCCAAAATAGCTCAAAACTTTTTAGAAACCGTTTGTTTGATCCGTGCTTATGTTCAAAATCTGTTGATGCATTTTAATGAAGCAAATTGCAGACTGGCTTCTCAAAAGGGTCTAATTCAATATCAATGAATAAAAAAAAGAAGAGAAAAAACATCACACATATAATTATTTTTTGCTTTCTATTGCTTCATTATCACGTGTGGATATTTGCCAGTTCAGTTGTGCATGTGATGAAAGGTGTTTCTGTTCTTTTAGCCAGAGCAAGTTTCACATAAATTATGCGCGAAAACTTGATCATTATGCTTCTGACCGTCATCCATGGCATCTTGAAAAAAATTATGCTCAAGTTTTTCTTTCTGTTCAATTTTATTATTCATAATAATAACTTTTATGCCGGAGTCCCTCGACCTCCCGTCCCCCTACTTTATTCCTATCACCAACAGGTAACACTTGCTAACAATAAAAAGGCTTACCGAAGTTCAAAACACAACATTTTACGGAAAAAATTCCCGAAGTGCAAGCAAGAAAAGCAGGCTTGCTGTTGAAAGCACTCAGGATGGAATTCATTTCTTGGTAAACTGTAACGTCAAGGCGGGATTTTTATGAAGTCAATAGCTATAACATTATGCCCAACATTACACTGGCATAAGTTATCTGACCTTAACCAATGTTCTTTAAAGGGGAAAAATATTTACTGTGGCCCATATCTTCTTCGGAACTCAGAGAAATTTTCTCACCGTGAAATATATAGAGCACTACTCATTGCCACGAAAATAATGAATTTACCAGAGAAATGATATTTCTAGATTTGGCCGATGGAGTTTGAAGGTACATGTATTCCACGATAAACCCATTTTTCATAAATGAGCATAGCGACTCTCCGCTTATATTTAAAAAAAACTAACTCGTACTCTCCAAACTTCCCGCGTGCTTCATATCTCGATGAACGCACGCTGACGTATGAACCAATTGCTAATAGAAAAACTACTTCTCAAAATAAAAATTAGTGGTTTTAAGAGTACTGTTAACTACAATAGAAATTGCTATTAATATGTACCAGGATAGTGGATAGCGTTGAAATCTCTCTCTGATTGGTTGCTCAAATTCCGGATTTCCTTTGTTATTCACCTTTAAGCAACGCGCGCGGGATTTGCGCCAGAAATTTATTGTAGCCATTGCAAGAATAAATGAGTGATTTTTTTGTGCTATATTTACTCACTTTTTTTAGGATATACTAATTCACTAAAACAACTATTCAACTCAATGTGGATGGCAAGGGTGGATATTTTCTTCGCCGCTTCGCAGCTCGGGAAATATCTTCCGCCAGCCACCTTCACTTTGGTAAATATTTGTGAGTTATATATTTCAAACAGTTTCTCCTTCTCGCGCGATTGAAAAGAAATCAGTTACCTTATCAACTCAGATGATGAAACCTAATTATCTTGTATCACAATCGCACAAAAAGTAGGGGAAATGTTTAGAGAAGAAAAA